GGAACCCCCAAAAAAATCATCCATACTAGGTGGAGGCTTGAATCATTACCGATAGTATTGCTTAGGGCTTCTCGCTTGAACTCTGGTATAATCGACCCGCCGACCTCTATTACGCTCTTCAATCCTAGACCCGATGGGCCCTATAGACAATTAAAGTAAGGAACCCCAAAAATCCATTACTATATATCACACGTCTCTATTCTGAACTCTAAATCCGAAAATATACTTGAAACAAGGAACTCTAGGGTGCAACGTAACACCACTAATTCCTAACCATGCCGACCCTTAAACCCTAAACCCAATAACCCAAAACACTACCCTAAACCCATATGGGTAGTTGTCAAATTATGGTCCCTTGTTGAGTACCCAAAATATTGGGGTGCCTTATTATATTAAGGACCCAAAAAAAGACACTAATTTTGACAACCACCCATATGCTAAAGCCATATGAGAGTTTCCGAAAATTCGGGGTACCTTATTTGGGGTCCTTATAAGGATCCTGCTATTTAGGGTTTTCTATGAGGGCCCCCTATTTTCGGCAGCTCGCATATGCTAAAGCCAAGCAGCCGAACTCAGTCTCGACAGGGCCGAGGGCTTGGCCCAGAGGTGAGTTCTTGTCGAAGGCCAGCGCCTCGCGTCACGCCGCCGAGTGTTAGAGGTTTTTAGGGTTTAGGGGTTTAGGCTTCAAGGTTTAGGGTCTAGGGTTTAGGGGTAATTATACTCTACTCCCCTTGGAAGGTAAGCAAAAAACTACTTTTTTCGGAGACCCCTATAAAAGAAGACCGGAACCAAAAAAGGAACAAAGTAACAAAGTCTCCAAGAGCCTTAAAGTATAGGGTTTAGGGGTTTAGGGTTTAGAAGGTTTAGGGGTTTAGGGGCTTAGGGTCTAGGGTTTGGGGATCTAGGGTTGCGGGGTTTAGGGTTTAGGGGTGTAGGGGTTTAGGATTCTGTCCGTCGGTTGGTTTAGCTAAGAGCACAAAAGCGAAACTAATACACAAACTTGTTGTGGGAATATCCCTACAGGGGGCTTCAATTGGTTCTGTTTAGGTGTTCTGGGGGTTCCTTATTAGCGTTTCTAGCTGCGTCTTGGGGCATAACGGGTGAGGGTTCAAGCTTTTGGATTTAATGCTCACTTGGAGGGTCGGGGGACTTAGTAACTGGTTATTTTAGGGACTTATAAGTACCATAACCCCAATTAGGGTCCCTTTTAGGGTACTTATAAGTCTACTTACTAACTACTTACGAAGTCCCCCGACCCCCCAAGCAGGGGTCGAAACTTGGGGTCTGGGGCTTCAAGTTCGGAGCTTACTTGGAGGTGCGTGGGTAGTTATAAGTAGGGTTGGAGGTAGGATAACCACAGCCATAACCCTAAACCCTAAACCCTAAACCCTAAACCATATTAGGGGACTTATAGCCACACTTGTAACTACCCATGAACCTTCGCGCAGGGCCAGGATTCAAAAATTGTTAGTGTTTGCGGAGGGCCATTTAGTTAGATAACCGCCTGCCCCACCGCGTTTCTAGGTGGCAAAACGACCGAAACCAGTTCCTTGCTGGAAATTCCACCTGCTATGCTCAAACTCAACCCGCGGCTGTGCACAGCACCAAAGAAAGAGTAGTTTCAATACCGAAGCTTCATATATCAAAAGCTCTAAGCCCTAAACGCTCTAAATCCTACACCTTAAAACCTAAATCTAACCCCAAATCCCCTAAACGATCCTACCTGAACAAAAAGGTTCAATAAAAAAGATAGCGGTTTGAAAAACGGGCTTGTAGTGTAGGGTGTTCTTTCGTGTTGTATGGGACTTCAGAAGGGTTTCATACGGCTACTTGGAGGTTCATGGGCAGGATAACTTTAGTTATAACCCATATTGGAGCGCTTATAACCACTTATAACTACCTATGAACCTCCAAGTAGGGTTCTGGAATTTAGGGCTTTGGGTTTTGGGGTGCAGGGTTTAGGGATGAGGCGGCTCAGGGTTCGAGTTTGTTTAAGGTTCGGGTTTTCGGGTGTAGGGTTTAGGGTTTGGGTTTTCGGGTTGCAGGTTTGGTGACTAGGGTGCAGGATTAGAGGTGCGTTGTGCGAGACTTGAGCGTCTGGATTCAAAGCTGGTCTGTGGGAATGCCAGCACGATGCCTGGACATTCCTAAACATAAAGCCTAGTTGAAGGGCCTCTCCAGCCCCCTAGCCTATGAAACACTAATAACATCCATAAAGCAAGGAAAGTTGTCCCCCTAGCCCTAGCCTATAAAACACTTGTATCATCCGCAAAGCAAGGAAATCAAAAGCAGGTACGAAACAAAGGAAAACCAGGTCCGCTACGGACCAGGGGCAGTTCCTGAACTGGGCTTCATTGCGAGACGTTGAAGGGTTGTTGTGAGTATGGGTGATGTAATGTAGCAGCCTTAATAATTAGAATAGGGTTTGGGGATTCATTATACTATAGTGATAATAAGGAACCCCCAAAATAGTATTGGTAAGTATTACGGCCCCTGTACCACGGTACCCTTATAGATCCCTTATAGTAACCCCTTATAAATCCCTTTAAAGGAACCCCCCAAGAAACATTGGTAATTTTCAAGGCCCCTATAGTATACTGAACTTAGAACCAAAGCAAAAACTATAATTTTAGCTGTTTCTTAGGGATTATAATAACCAATAAAAACTAAAAATTATTTCTAAGTACCCCTAAGTATAGTATTGTGAAGAGGGATATGGCTTAAATCATAATATGAAGCCCTATATAACCCAAGCCATATTCCTTAATTAAGGGGTATTACAATCCCCTAAACCCTAAGCCTATAGATCCCTTATAGATCCCTTAAAGGAACCCTAGGTATTCCTTATGTTTAAGGGGTATTGGGCTCTCTGGGCACACCCTAAACCCTAAACCCTGAACCCTAAACCCTGAACCTTGAACCCTGAACCCTGAACCCTAGCCCTCAACCCTAAACCCTGAACCCTAAACCCTAAACCCTAAATCCTAAACCCTAAACCCTGAACCCTAGACCCTAAACCCTAAACCCTAAACCTTAATTCAGGGGTCTTGGCTCTCTGCTTGGAGGGTCGGGGGACTTAGTAACTGGTTGTTTTAGGGACTTATAAGTACCATAACCCCAATTAGGGTCCCTTTTAGGGTACTTATAAGTCTACTTACTAATTACTTACTAAGTCCCCCGACCCCCCAAGTGGGTATTGTGAAGAGCCCCGGAGGCCTCAAAGGCCTCCGGCATGGCACCCCGGCGGACGTCCTCAGTGGGATGCGTTTGCGGTTTAGGGTTTAGCGTTTAGGACTTTAAGGGTTTAGGGGTTTAGGGATGTAGGGTTTAGGGTTTAGGGATTTAGGGTTTAGGGTTTGGGGTCTCAGGGTGTAGAGTTTAGGCTTTCAGGGTTTAGGGTTTAGGCTTTAGGGTCTCTGGATTTAGGCTTTAGGGTCTCTGGATTTAGGGTTTAGGGAGGCTCTGGTTCGGGATTTAGGGCTTGGGATTTAGGTTGCATGGGCTGCAAGCCCTGAAACCTAAGGCATGAATCCCGAAAGCTGCTAAGCAAAACATGAACTCTAAAACCTTCAATCTCAAACCCCGAAACCCAATTTCGGAGTTATAGGCAAGGTAACTGTGGCTACAACTATTGATAACCCTCCATTAAGGTACTTGCAACCTTCCTTTCTAACATGATAAGCTTAAACAACCTAAAGCTCTGATGGAACACTTCCAGACCAGCTAGAGAACCCGTGTAGAACCCAGAAAGCAACCCTGCTAGTACTCCTAGTCCAAGCCACAGACCCTGAACCCCGCCGACCACCCCTGCATCTATCCCCTATGGTCCTTCATAGACCTCAACCCTAAACAAAACAAACTAAACCCTAAACTCTAAACCGTAGAGAGTGTTTTGGCTATTCCCTAAACCCTAAACCCCTAAACCCTGAACTTTAAACCGTAGAGAGTGTTTTGGCTATTCCCTAAACCATAAACCCCTAAACCCTGAACTTTAAACCGTAGAGAGTGTGTTGGCTATCGGCTAAAGCAGAGGGTAGTTTGGGGGATCCCGGTACAGCCCTGAACCCCGAATCCTGATTCCCCACACACCCTAAACCCGGAACTCACAGCCCCTGAACCCTACTCGAAGGATCAAGGAACTTCGTAAGTAGGGTTATAAGTACCCTAATTGGGGTTATAAGTACTCATAAGTAACGTTACCTCACCTCTAACCCGACTTCCGAAGTCCCCTGATCCTTTAAGTAAACCCTGAGCTCACAATCCCCAAACCCCAAACCCTGCACCCCCCTAAACCCTAAACCCTAAACCCTAAACCCTAAACCCTAAACCCTAAATCCTAAACCCTAAATCCTAAATCCTAAACCCTCTACCCTAAACCCTAAACCCTAAACCCTAAACCCTAAACCCTAAACCCTAGAACCTGAAGCTCTCCTCGCACTAAGCCGCACACCCGTAGGTCTGCTCCTGTCTCCCAGACCCACAGCCCACGGTTTAGGGTTTAGGGGTTTAGGGTTTAGGGTTTAGGGGTTTAGGGTTTAGGGTTTAGGTTTTAGGGTTTAGGGGTTTAGGGTTCAGGGTTTAGGGTTTGGGTAGACAACTACAGATGACAAAGAAGATCGCAAGCACGTCCCAACCGAACCGAAACCTCAAACCCTAAGCCCTAAGCCTGCCTAAACCTCAAACCCTAAATCTCCGCCACTAATCCTGAACCCGGAACCGCAAGCCTTAAACCGTAATCCTAAACCCTGAACCCCAAACCGTGAATTCCGGTTGCTGATATCAATCCTGCATTACCCATAACAAGGAATATGCCATAATTCCTACAGTTTAGGTTTCTTAATACAAAGCAGGATTTATGTCCCTAAACCCTAGGAACCCTTAAACCCTACAGATCCCTTAAAGGTACCCATATAGATCCCTTTAAAGGAACCCCCGAATTTAGATCATCAAACCGCGCTGAAGCAACCCTAAACCCTAAACTATCAGCCGGACTAAAGCCTTCAAACGGCAACTCCCTTGCTCTTCAAAGCTGCTCCGAGGTCGCCACCTGCCCAGTTGGCTCAGGGGCTTAGGATTTAGGGGTTTGGGGTTTAGGGTTTGGAGGTCTAGGGTTTAGGGGTTTGGGGTTTGGAGGTCTAGGGTTTTGGGGTTTGGGGTTTGGAGGTCTAGGGTTTTGGGGTTTTGGGGTTTAGGGTTAAGGGGTTCCGAGGTCTAGGGTTTTGGGGTGTTGGGCATATGGTTAACCTCTACTCCCCTTGGAAGGTAAGCAAAAAGCTACTTTTTTCGGAGACCCCTATAAAAGAAGACCGGAACCAAAAAAGGAACAAAGTAACAAAGTCTCCAAGAGCCTTAAAGTAACGGTGTATTCTTCAAGATTGAGGGATCGGGGCTTAAGACCTTCGGCTTAGCGGTTCAGAAGCTTTAGGGTTTGGGGTTGGCAGTTTGGGAGCTTCCGAAGATAGGGGACCCTACGGTTGATGATATAAATCCTGCACTACCCATAATAAGGAATATACCATAATTCCCATAGTTTAGGGTCCTTAAGGTAATGCAGGATTTATATCATCAACAGTAGTATAGGACCCGAAATAGTAGGATCCATGTTATGTATCAAGACTCCAAAATAAGGTACCCCCTAGTATAGGACCCTAAATAGTGGGATCCTTATTATCAGGACTCCAGAATAAGTAAGGTACCCCTAATTTTCGGAAACCCCCATTTGCGAAAGCTACAGAAGACGTAGTGTTCGGATCTAACGGCTTCGGGTTTAGGGTGGCGTTGATGGGGTTTTGTGGCTTAACATGTTAATTTTTTCCTTAAAGCTAAAACTTTGAGGTTTTTTGAACTAACATTCGACATTTTATCGCAGGGTGTGATAGCTATCTTGAGGTTGCCTGGTTCAGGACTTAGGGGGCTCAGGACGAAATTACCGGGATCCGCGGGTTTTTGGGGGAAATCGAAGGAACCAGAACCTAACAAGACCTACCAATTTGCCGACCGAGCCGAGACCCGAAATCACAACCTCGATCCGACGAAGACCCACACCTCACAAACTCGGTTTCGGGTTTAGGGTTTAGGGCTCCTGGCTTGTATGTAAGGCAACTGTTGATATCTTGGTATGCATTGATAACTCCGATGATAGGTACTTATAACCCTCCTTACTAAATCCCACGAACATTCAAGTACAGCTTTAAGCCTGAATAGACCCATTTTCGAAGTCTGCATGACCCCTTTGTAGAGTCTGAACCTACAGACTCCTTGCAGAGCCCTAAACCGTAAACCATTTGTAGAACCGCCCAGAACCGAAAGCTCGTGAAGCCTCGTACCGCCGTGGCGCCATCCAACGACTTCTTGCGCGCCAGGCGTTTGAAGTCATTGAAATTCTTGCCCTGGCACCTGGGTTGTAAGGCTCTTGGGGTTTAAGGGTTTAGGGTTTCAAAAGTGTTTTTTGTTTAAGGGCTGATTTCCGACAGCACGTAAGTCACTACGGCTGTCCGGGTTAAGAATTTTAGGTCTGCGTTTTGGGCGCCTCAGGATTTCGGTCGAGGGCTTCGGGTTTTGGGTTCTGGACTTGAATTTGATTTAAGCTGGGCAGCCCACGGCCTTTGTCTGAGGAGAAAGCAGGCCTGTGCTTTTAGGTTACGGCTTTTTTGTCCGTAGGGTTTCGGGTTTAGAGTTTCGGGTGATTTTGAACCTCTGTTAGCAGACTTTCTCCTAAGCACGCTTGCCCAGCAGCACACAAAGCTGAGAAGATTAAGGGTCAAGAGTTAGGTTTGAGGGTCTGGGATCTAGAGCTAGAGGCGTCGGGCTTGAGAATGGTTCAGCCAAGCCGCTGGGCGAAGACTTCTGCAGCGGACTTTTCGTCCTCCAAGAGTATGTGGGACACCTGCAAATTCAGGTTCTGGGGCAAAATAAATTAGGGTTTTGTGTTTTCAGGGCGTAAAGCTACAGAACCAGCAGCGCAAGTCGTTCACTTGCCAGCCGAAAGCCCTTAGAATGACGCCTTGTAGCTCACCCGACTGGCTTGCTTGGGCCTACTTGGAGGGTCGGGGGACTTAGTAAAGAGTTGTTTTATAGAGTTATAAGTACCATAGCCCCAATTTGGGTCCTATTAAGGTACTTCTAAGTCTATATAATAACTACTTACTAAGTCCCTCGACCCTCCAAGTAGGGTTTGGGGTTTACTTGGAGCAGCATCGTGTCATAAAGGAGGGGCCTGTAAATCATGCTGCAAATCATAACATGGTTGAAACTGCGTTCCTTACTCAGCCGCTTCTCGGGTAGTATCTCACAACCTGTTTCCACTGCATCCTTGCCTCAACTGATCAACCCTCTGCTAAAAAACAGGGCTTTGGGGTATGGGGTCACGAGACATCGCTTCAATGCCAACCCTAAACCGAACACACTTGTGTGTGAGGTGGGCCCAAGTGTAATCTCGAAAAGTGGCTGACGCACGCTCGAAAGTGACAATCGCACTCAACCCTCACCCCTAAGCCACTACACTAAAACGCGATAACCACCACTGAACCTCAACTCTCTACCCCAAGAAACCAATAACCAGAAACGCCCCAAGCTAGCATCCTACGCAAACAACCCGGTACCTCATAACTGAGCAGGTTTCGTAGTACTTAGATCATCACAAGAAAGCTACATGGGTGGTTGTGAAAATTATGGTCCCTTTTTGGGTACTCTAACTATTAGGTGCCGTACTATACTAAGGACCCAAAAAGGGACCATAATTTTGACAACCGCCCACATCACCTTGAACACTAAACCTATATAAACCCTAAACACCCTGGGCTAAGCTCAGCCCTAAACCCCAAACCCTAAACCCTAAGAACCCTAAACCCTAAACCTTAAACCCGAAAATTCTCCCAAGACACTTCGCAGGTTGCGCCCTGCACTGCCTTGACCTCAATCTCTGGACGCTATAGGTTTGGGGCCTCAGGGTTTTGGGTTACCCTTCTTTTGGATTTAGGGTTTGGGGTTTCGGGTTAAAGATTTAAAAATTCGTGTGTGTGGTGCTCCAATTTTGGGGCCCAACCCGAGCAACGTCCGTAAAACTTAAACGCTCATACCGACTCATACCACAAAACCCTCAAACCTTGAACTCCAAGACCTAAAATCGCAAGCTGTCATCAGGGCTGGTTTAGGATTTAGGGCTTAATTAATGCCCACGGGTGCTGCCGCATGCATCAGCTGGGCGGCTGGGCGCTGCTCTTGATGCAGTAGCAGCCATTCATGGAAAATTATATGGGTGGTTGTCAAAATTGGGGTCCCTTTTTGGGGTCCCTATTATAGTACGGCACCTATTATTTAGGGTACCCCAAACGGGACCCTAATTTTGACAACCACCCATATCCCTTCCAGGAGTGCCCATGTCTCCAGCTCATTTGGCCGCTACAGGACTGCAGTCTCGGCAGCACCTGGGCCCGTCCCCCAAAAAGGGTTTAGGGTTTAGGGTTTAGGGTTTGTCCACCAGGAGCCTATGATGTCGCCTCCAGTGTCCCGGAATCCAGTGTCTGGCCTTAAACACATGATCGGTGCATAAAGTAATCCGCGGACCGCTGCCGGGAAAGTTTCCGCTGTGGGCACCGCATTTTCCAGACCCCGCGCTTGACTGCAGCTCCAGAGAGGGGAACCAAGAAGCGGTCCGGATCACCTTCGACCGGAAGCAGCCACTGCCAAACAATCCAGCATTCCAGCCCTACTCGAAGCAGGATCTTTTCTTTCTATTGTGTTTTATCCCGGGAGCCAGGTATTCGAAGATCTCTCCATGTCAGCTTCCGCTGCATCACCCGCCCAGACCACTCGCATGCTGCGTAGTTGCAAGAAGTTATGGCTGCCTCCTTTCTTTCACCTATCCCAACCCGCCGTCATCTAGCCCTTGCTACGTTCACAGGGCACAATAAACAGCTAGCTAAGCTCCTGGTAGCGACTCCACGTGCCGAACTGCAGCCAATGCACTATGGCCATATCCCGGTCTGGCCAATTGCCATTCTCCACGTGGGGTTTGCCGCCTTGCCCTGTGCCCTCCCTACCCCTTCCTGTCCTGCCCGCCCTGCCGCCCTGCCCCGCCCTGCCCTGCCCTGCCTTGCCCTTCCTGCCCTGCCATGCCCTGCCCTCCGTGCCATGCCCTGCCCTGCCCTGCTGCCCTGCCCTGCCCTGCCCTGACCTGACTCCTTACTTTGTTTAAGTGCTGGAAAGGAAGAAAAGCGCGATGGCATGAGTTTAAGCCTAAACCCTAAAAGGAATAGGTTTGGGTGGCATGGCCGCCTCCACAATACGATGCACTCGACACAAACCTTGTCGCAAGATATTATCGCCTACGCGCTCTTCCTAAATCCTAAACCCGGAACCCCAAAATCCTCGACCCCGAGCGTCACCTCTAAGGCCCAAAGCCTCAGCGCATGTCACACGGTTTGCCGCCCAAACTTCCATCAGGTTTGTGTTTATTTCAGTTTGGGGTTTAGGGTTCAGGGTCTTGTAACGAAGCCAGCTCCCAAAAAGCTAGGACACTGTGGTACTCCAACACCCTGAGAACCCGAAACCCCTTAGACCCTGAACCCCCGAGCCCTTAAAACCCAAACCCCGAAAACCCGACACTCTGCAACCCTGAACAGCCGAATTTATAAACCCTTCTTGAAGGATCATGGGACTTAGTAAGTAGGGTTATAAGTACCCTAAATGGGGTTATAAGTAATTATAAGTATAGTTACCCTAATTATAACCCTAGTTACTAAGTCCCATGATCCTTTAAGTTGAGGGCAGGAAGCCCACTTCCCGCCCAGAAAGTAGTCTGGGTTCAAGATGATCGCGATGGTCGCCTCAGCTTTCCGGAATGCCAGGGGCTGAAAGAATAACGTAGCTTTCTGCGGTTGAGGGAGTAGGGTTTAGGATTTAGGGTGAAGGGGCTTAGGGTTTCAGGGGCAAGTCCAAATGAGTCTTCCTGTCGAATTTCAGGCATATTCGTCACTTGACAGGGTGATTTGGAGTATGCAGAGGTTCAGGGCCGGGGATTATGAGTTGTGGGTTTGCAGCTTCAGATTTTGGGTGTGGGGTATTGGAGTTAAATGGTTTAGTAGGGTTTAGGGCGTAGGGTTCAGGGTTAGGATTCAGGGTGTAGAGTTTAGGTTGGGGATTAGGAGCTTTGGCATTTCTGCTCAATCATTTACCTTACCTGACTGATTCTTTATTGTTTCCACATCCAAGCCCGAACTTTCCTGACTTCGGCAGCCTTCCTAGTCCATACGATGTGATACCAAAACCCAAACTACGTATAGTATAGGGACCTTGACAGTAGAACAGGGCAAAGGTGGATGCTCTAGTACGATTCGAAGACCACAAAGCGGGTATCAATACTGAGTAGACCATTCCGCCAACTATGAAGTCTTGCAAGCCAACAGGAAGAGACCCTCGAAGTTCCCCAAAGCTCTCGCGCGGGTGTCCGTCGGTGAAGGCCTAAATCCAAAGCCCCCGCTTCCTCGATGCAAGAAACTGCCGCTAACTTCCCACACACGGTCCTCACACCATGTGCAAACCATCCGGAAGCAGATGGGCCCTATATTACCCGCAGAGAAGCAAAGCCAAGCCGGGTGACAGCGGCGAAGAGGACCTCCACCACAGTGGTCGCAGACCCAAAGTCATCGCCCGCATCCCTAGTTCGGAAAAGGTTCTGGATTAGGGGTTCAAGGTTTCGCTGTTTTGGCTTACATGTGACGATGACGACCACCACCACCACGAACAATCAGACCACTGGGAGGACCTCGACGACGACGATCAACACGACAAAAGTCCAACCGCGACGACGAGGACGACGGCTGTCGAAGTTTGCAGCGGCTGGGGGGTCAGCTAAATCTAAAACCCACTTCAACTCGAGGTGTCAGTGCTCCGACCCACGTCCAAGACCTGATTCAGTGCATGTGAGGTTACTGCAAATATTGCGACAAGAAACTGTGCCCAGGCTGCCAGCGGTGTTCCTGCTGCCACTCCGGCAGACAGTGTGGCAGCCCGTGCCGGAGCACGCGGGGGCACCAGGAAGGCCAGGGGGTAGACAAGGACGAGGAGGGCGACCTTCACCGCTGTGAATATTCAGAGAAGGACTCAGCACAGGCTTGTTGCATTTCCTTTATCAAATTAAACAGGGCCGTATTAACCGCTGGCGGAGCAAAATATGTTGCCGTTCGTTTCGGAAAGATTTTTCGCATCCTTGCGGCCTTGGTCTTTGGTTTGTAGTGCTTTCTTGGTCTTGCAGCGCTTACTAAACAGATGTCGATCCGAGCCTAGGCGAGCACCGGTACCTACAGTAGTGTATTATAGTATATTACAGTATCTTATGGCAGACTTCGTTGAGGAACTTAAAGTCTGATACCCAAAACGTCAGCCCTGAAAGCCGACCAGACGAGAACCTCGGCCATGTCAACTGCAGCTTCTCGAAAAAACACGGGAACGCTCTGGAAAACATTGGAAAACCATCACTTAGTTCCTGAACCCTGAACCCTGAACCCTGAACCCTAAACCACCCGTAACCCCTAAGGCCTTAGCGCCAAGATCCTTCATCCCTAAAACCAAAATAGTACGATCCCTAAAACCCAAGGCCCAAAATGCCCTACACCCGAAGCCTTCAAACGTGCCTTGGAAGCTCAACCCCCCAACTGCAACCCTCAAACCTGCCTCAACATGTGCCAACATCTGGAATTCTACTGTGAGGACAAGCCTGACTAGAATAGGTTTCCGTTAACGGTTCCTTTTCGAGGGGCTCTATACTGGCGCACTATACGAGTTAGCATAAGGATTGATCTGTTTAGGGCCTTCATGTTAGAATAGGGGTTTGTGTGACATTATACTTCACTTATACTTGGAAGTACGCGGGGTCTGCTAGGTAGGTAGTTACTTCTACTCCGACGTCTAGAATAAGTCCATGGTTTTGGCTTAGGACGATACACGGCTCAAGGCTTTGGGTTCAGAGCTGTGGCTGAATAGCTTCCCACACCGAAACGCGAACTCAAAACGATCCTTTACCCTAAGACCGAAGAGGCCACGACAGGTGGAGCCTCGGTGCTTTCTGTCTTCAGGCTCATGGATTAGGGGTTGGAGGTATTGGAATTTGAAGGCGTAAGAGTTTTGGGTTTGAGCTTCAGGCGCAGGCTTGGGGTTTAGGGCTTTCCATACACTCTTGACCATACTGAACTTGGCACCCTTGCAAAAAACTATCATGTTGGCTGTTGCTTAGGGTGTGTAATAACCCAAAAATGGAGAAAAAAACACTTCTAACCTCTCCTACGTTAATGTTCATGAACGCCCGTCTACTTGGAGGTTCATGGGCAGTTATACGCGGGTTTATAAGTAGGATATATGGAGCTAACTTATAGCAAAGGTCTTATAACTCTTATACTGAGGGTCCTTCTAAACCCTCCAAAACCTTACCGCAATTCTGTGAGGATCCCACCAGCCCCGGGCGGCTGATGCGTCGCTGACGAAGCATGGCGTGGTCAAGGTTGAAAAGGGCTGAGAAAAAATTGATTTAGAAGTCCATGGTATGGGGTTCGGATATTGGGAGGGTTGAGGTTCTGCGTGAAGAGCTTAGGGTGTTGCAAGTATGGGGTTATGCTGTCCGAATATTGGCTTCGGATGCACCCTACCCTAAAAACCCTGCACCCGAAGGCTGAAAGCTTAGGGGTGTGGCACCTACCGTCTTAAGGTCTTCGAGATCAGCTTGGAGCCGGATGAAATCAGCTCGGAACCGGATTGTTGAAAGAGCTGGCCTTGATGGCTAGAAAGGGGACATCGAAGTATACTAGGATTCTGGGCTGAGGGTTATGGGATGCAACTAAATACTTAGCCTGGGTTGTTCCTTAAGGTTGTCCTCTATGTATTTCCCGACATCCTGAGAATCCTGGAAGCTGAAGGGCTCATGCACATCGAAGTCTGGCGGGATGCTTAAAACAGACGCCGACGGCTTAAAAGCAGCACTGGGGAGTCTATACACTTAAAGTATGAAGAAGGGTCTTGAACGTCTTAACATGACTTGAAATACATTCCTTGCCGACCACTGGTGAATAAGCCCTCTCTCTTCAAGGGTGATATGATTAAGGTCCACATTTCAATCGTTTCCAAGGCAAGGCGTCTCGCTTGAACAAAGCCCTTTTCTTGAGCACTAAGACCGTGATGTTTTTGAATGCGTACTACGGGAGAACTTTTTGGGGTTGGCCTTAGGGCCTTACGGCTATGAACCCAAACCTTCAACCCTGGACTTCGACCGAATGTGCCAAATCCTCAACTCACAACCCGTTATCCACCAACCCTTGACTTGGCAGACGTCTGACTCGCCTTGGCAGACGTCTGAATCGCTTCCCAAACGTTAAATTCTCGCTTCAAGCCCTAAGCTCTGAAACCTTGAACCCGGAACCCGAAACCAATAAATCCAAAAGCAACAAAACCCCATACATTTTTTGGGGAACGCGAATCGTTCCCTGCCACAATCCGTCGAGTTCTTACATCTCGACATCTTTCTCCCGCCACAGCGCTGTGTGTCCCTTGCGTAGGTTTGACTTGTGCTCTGTCTTCCGACATCGTGATACAGCACACCATTCCTGTTTGCGGTCAAGTCACATTCCCTGTCGGTCTTCTGCCGAGATTGCTTCTGATGGACGCGCTAAGGCTGCTACGGTCCCAGTTTCGAAACATGCAAGACAGCTTCTGGCTGATTAGAGAACATGATCGAAGGAGGAGGTTTGCTCGTGCTGAATGCTCCACTCTTGCGAGGCTCCTGGAAATCGTAGAAATAACCGAACCTGCTGCGTGCTTAGGTTGCTGCCGCACACCTGGAACCCAGTCAGCTTGCTGACTTACCCCTCCTTCCTACGCGTTTCGAGCGTGCCAGTGCGTCACCCTCCTCTCTCCATCTCCTGAAGCTCCGTCTCCGCGCCTTCTTGCTTCTGCATTTGCAGCTCCCGGTCGACCAATTCCAGGCCATACCTGTTGCTTGAAGGTCCTGGGACGCGTCGACCAAAGGGCAAGATGACATGACCTCGACATGAACAAGCATCAAGCTGTGGGCACAATGCGCTCAGCAGCGCACAGCCAGCACTCCCCCGGCGGAGGAGCCCTCCCATATCATACAGGGTGTGGGCTTGAATCGGACCAATGAAGTCCTCCGCCAGCACTGGAATTAGTGCTGCCTCTGCTTGTGCAGATATGCGATGCGGCACTCGAGCCCGGCCTTACGGCCACGTGCTTGAAAGCGCACTCGGGCACGCACCTGTTGACTACTTGCCATGCCTTTTGGGAGGCGCGGCAGAGGATAGTCTTCCGGAACTTCGCAACTGAATTGTCTGGTCAGGACATTCAAGCTGGCGCCACAAAAGCCCGCGACGCAGCTTGAATGCACTGCACCCGCGACAGCTGCTGTAAGCACATGCAACTAACACCCCAGGTGACAACGCCGCACGGCTGCAAAGGCGTCGCTGGCTGGTTGGATCTCATGCAAATGCTCCAGTTCCGCCTGTACGGCAGTACTGTTCCCGCCACTGTCCCGCTAGGACGCCAGCATGGCGGAGCAGTTTTCTGGCCGCGACGGCCGAAGAACTGGTTGGGTTCGCCTTGAGGTCGGAGCGTGCTGCGGGCGAGGGGGGTGGACCTCGATGTCCGCAATGACTGCATGGCCGTCACCCCTACAACGAGCCACCCGGATCTGTTTCAGGAGCTAACACAGATGCTAGACAGCAAGCCGCGGGGTGTGGAAGCACCAGCTTTGCTCTCGGCTTGGTAAGGTAGCTCCAGGGCCGCTGCAGCCTGCGGTGCTCGCACAAGACCGCACTTACTGGCAGGTGACTCGTCTTGCTCCCCGTTCCCTGCCTCCTTGAACAAGCCGTCGACATGCGAGAGCTCTTCGTTGGTGCGTTGGATGAGCGGCAGATCTCGGAGCACGATGGGACGAGCATTCCTCAGCATTGTTGTCCCCCGGGCAACCCACGGTATGCAGGGTTGCATGCGTGCGGGAGTTTGACTTCGCCGGTGCCATTTCAAGTTTAAGCTTTACTTCAGCTTGTTGCGAATCCACGTGCTGATCACCCCGCCTGGGCTTTCTGCCAGCATCGAATAGCCCGCGGGACCACCCGAAGTCACGCCTGCAATCCAACACAGTTTCGACTCCATCGCCTCAAAAAGCCTGTTTTGGCGTCTTAGGGTTGATATAAGGCTTAGGTTTCAGGGCTGAAGGTTAAAGGCTATCGGGTTTGGGGGTTGGGGGTTTTCAGGCCTAGGGTTCGGTACCCCCAAATCAGCGCTAAATCCGGCACACTGAACCCTAAACCCAAACAGAGCATGCCTCCGCGTCCTCCTCCACCTCCTCCCTCTTGAGCCCCATCCCTTGGCCGCAGTTCGACGCGCCGCTGCTGCTGCGCTGGGGCCTAGGAATCAATAAGAAGAGATGTTTGGATTAGCGTTTCCGCAATTTTTTGAGAGTCTCTTTCTACACCACATGGGTACAGAGAGCTGCGGTGAGTCAGGCCCGTGTCAAGAACCTACTATAGGGGCCTTAATAATTGGAATAGGGGTTCGGGGCCCAATATACTATAATTCCAATAAAGAACCCCCAATATAGTATATGTAATTATGAAGGCCCCGATATCACTCGCTGTGATTTCCGGGGTTAAGGGCCCCACTTACCGATGAACATAATGCAGAACATGGTATTAAAAAGTATCATGCAGTAGAGTATAGTAAGATCAGATAAGATAATATAGTATGATTTAATACTATTGAACAAGGGGTTCCAATTGTCTCCTACTCTCAGGATGTGTGGTCATAGCAAGCAACGGGTGGATCTATGGATACCGTTGGAACAGCCGGTGGCACAAGAGGCCCTGCTTGCTAAGTTCATGACGATACAGTTGCTTTGGGGCCATTTCAATAAGAGTCTAGGATACCCAGTAACCTAAGAATGAAAAGGCCTCTCTTTTTGGTATTGGGTAACTTTATAAGGAACCTAGGACTACAAAAAGGGAATAAGGGTACTACTGGGCATCCTAGGTGAGGCATCAGGCTTCAATCAAGTCTGCGGCATCGGGCGTCCATAAAGGCTTCGGCTGAGACTCGCTGCATATGCCCATACTTGGAGGATCATGGGACTTAGTAAGCAGGGTTATAATTAGGGTAACTATACTTATAATTACTTATAACCCCAATTAAGGTACTTATAACTCTACTTACTAAGTCCCATGATCCTTTAAGCAGCCTTCGCTTCGCCAACTGCGGCAGTCTTACACCATTGGCCTAGGAACCAGATTTCGACAACGCAACCTCGACCACAAAACCAACCTAAACCTTCAACGGCTACGGCTTGAGGTTTATAGGACCAAAAGTCAGCAATTCGATGCCAACTTTGCTCTGACAAGCAAAGCTGCCGTTGATGGGACATGTGACATTGCAGGCAGGCAAAACCGCAACTCGATCCCGAGTCCGTTTATGTGCGGCTTCGGAATTATAGTTGTAGGGTGCACTAAATCACTAAACCTTAAAACCGTGAGAGCGCACACCCCGAAGCCTACGGCCCAGGCCATGACCAAACGCAAACCCCATACGCCCCAACCTCGAGCCTCAAACCTTTACTTAAATGCCGCAGATTTCAAGGATCCTGCAAATAGAACACGAACCCTGAAAACGCCCAAAGAAACTACTTAAACAAACAACTGAAGCCCGAAAACGCTACAGGGAGCTCTGCTTGAAAAACCTAGACTCTTTAGAGAATAAACCAAAAGCCCTAAACCCAAACCCCTCAAACTCTAAACCCCTAAACTCTTAAACCCCTAAACCCTGAACCTTAAAGGAACACCCAGAGGAACCCTTAAACCCTGCACCCCAGACCCAAGAGCTCTGAGGTGATGGGAGGCCAAAAGGGGGGTTTAAGATTCTTGGGGTAGGGATTCCTTAAGATGAACCCTATTATGGGAACCCTAATCCCTACTAAACCCCCATATGCTAAAACCCCTTTTTGGCCTCCTATGATGAGGAGAGCCCCGCCTCTGCGGCGACGAAGCCGAGCTCCTCGAGAGCCTCCTTTTCGTTCAGGCTCCGGAGAGTCCAAAACCCGAGTTTTAAGGCTCCTTTTAAGACCTCCTTTAAGGGCTCCTTAAAGGGTTTAGGGTTCAGGAGTTTAGGGTTTAGGAGTTTAGGGGTTTAGAGGTTTAAAGCTTCCTGGCTCCTTTAAGGGTTGTGTAAAGGGTTCTGTAAAGGGTTTGGGGCTTGGGGTCTAGGGATTAGGCTTTAGGGTTTAGAATTTAGGGTCTAAGGATTAGAGTTTAGGGTGTAGGGCTTGGAGTTGGGCTTTAGGGTTAACCCTAAACCCGACACCCTCACACCCCAACACCTGATCACTCTCATGTTTGTAAATGGGGCGTTGCAGTGATTGGGGAAAATGCCGTACGAGACCTCAAGTTATATATTGCATCCCTAAACGGGAAAACACAGCCCCCCCCTCTTTCCTGCACGTGGCGGACAGCAGGGCTGTCAACCATGATCTCATCGATGTTGAAAGCTCCTGCCGTCTGTTACGGAAGAGCACCGGGGAGGTGGTTTTTCGGTTTAGGAGTTAAGGCTCAGGGTTCGGAATCGGCATTCGGGGTTGAGGGTTTAGAGCTTAGGGATCAGAGCTTACGGTGTGGCGTTGAGGGTTTATATAAGGCATTCGGGCCCAATACCCCAAACCTTAACCCAAGCTGCCTACTTGGAGGGTCGGGGGACCTAGTAAGTAGGTAGTAAGTAGACTTATAAGTACCCTAAAAGGGACCCTAACTGGGATTATGGTACTTATACGTCCCTAAAATAACCAGTTACTAAGCCCCCCAAACCCTAAACCCCATACCCTTGCAGAATCCCTATAGATCCCTTTAAAGGAACCCTAAAGGAGCCCCATTTATGTTACTAAGTCCCCCGACCCTCCAAGTACCTCTGAACTAAGAGGCTCCCAGCCTGAATCAACTTCGCTCCTGGGGCGTTTCACAAGGATCCATACTGACTCTCTCGGCTCTCCCGGTTTTAGGGTTCGGGCTTTGGGGGTTTAGGGTTTGGGGGTTTAGGGGTTGAGGGGTTTAGGGGTTTAGGGGTTTAGGGTTTAGGGGTTTAGGTTTTAGGGGTTTAGGGGTTTAGGGGTCTAGGCTTCAGGGGTTTAGGGGTTAGGGTTTCAATCTCAACGGGCTGGTGCATCGTCTTGGCGGCCGGGGGCTCAGGGTTTAGGGCTCCGGGTGCAGAATTTAGTTTTTAGGCTTAGGGTTTAGGGTTTAAAGAACCTTTCAAAAACCTTCGCCCCGACTTCGATCGTATGGCAGGGATCCATGAGTCCAGCTTCAGGAACGTTTGGGCAACGGCAGCCGAGTGAATGGCACCGTTTGTGTGGCTTGGTATGTGCCCAGGGGATGTCATTGGGCTTCTACTTCTACGAATTTTGCTGAGCTCATGTGCCCGTCTCCCAGATCGACAGGCCCTCTTCCTTGTACTTTGTACATTATATGCAGAACTGACGGTCAAGATATGTACATTCGCGAAATGCATAAAATCTGATTTATAGCCATAACGGGGACTTTGCGCTTAAGGTACAAGGCTTTCGGTCGCAAAGCTTCACCAGACCTATAGTGCTTCTGAGATAGAAACAAACATTGCAAACGCATGCATGTGCTCTGTCCGAACAACCGATTCAAGCTTTGAGGGTACGAAGGAGGTTATACAAACCCGGGCTTGTAGTGTGACTCTGTCTTCACTGCGGCTGCGAGTACATAGTTCTTCAGTCAATCGGAACATTGCCCCATGCAAAGCGATCCTGCAGTGGCAGAGTTTGACACCATCGCCTCGTCACGATGCCGCAGAAGCGCCTGTGCAAACAGGTTTGTTCGATCTCCGTACATATGTTTCCAAAGCTTATGGTTCAATGCTTATTGGTTTTCACGGTTGGCTTAAACCCTAAACCCTAAACCCTAAACATGTACCTCGTCCTGAACCCCAAAACCCCCCTGACCGCTTCGTGCACGCCTCAAGGGACGTCTGCCCGGTGCGAGCGGCGGCCTGCGTGGGCGTCCACCGAAATCCATTGGGGCTTGGGGGGGCTTAGGGTTTTGCGTTTGGGGTCAGGGTTTAGGGTTTACGAGATTTCCAGCATAGCAGTTTTGGATCGATTTTGGATGTAAAGTCTTGGGGTTCTTTAAGAGTTCGGGCTGAACAAAAGTTTAGTTCAGGATTTTCGGATGCATGTTTGGGCTTTGGGAGCCTGGATCTCTTCTTTTGCAAAGATCCTTGTAGGTCTTGCGGCTTATAGTGAAATCCCGACAGTTGGAACATGGGTTTAGGACGATCAGTACCGGGATTGCCTGGACTTTATTGTAACGGCATCAGGATAATGCTGTTCCAACTTTTCGTCTTATACTGTACATAAGGGCCGCTCTGGGTAGATAGCTTCATCAGGGATTCGGGTTTAGGGTTTAAGGGTTTGGGGTACCGAGGTTTCGAGACTTACGTTTCAAGGATTTGGGAAGCTGCTCTTGTGTAAGGCTCTTCTGTTGTGTACGGACCTCAATAAATAGGAAAAGGGTGTATAGTATACAGGGACTACAGCGACTACAGGGCAGTAGTATAACTACCACATCCTGCTTGGGGCCTGAGCATCGTGCAGGTTCGCAGTGGTGCAACTTGGACTTAGCGAAATGAGGGAACTTAGACGACAAAAGCCTCCATCAACGAGCCACGGAATGCCCCTAAGGTTTAGGGCCCAGGGGTTCACTGCGTTGGGTGTACTTTATTTGCATCCAAACCCCTAAACCCGAACTGGGCTCTGAATTAATCAAGCATGAAACTGCATCAAACAAATGCAACTTCTTTGTTCACTGGCTCTACAAAAAACAATTCCAAAAAGTGGAAAACGCAAAGTATGACAGAGACCGGCAAGCCTTGCAAGCCAAAACCCCCTACTAATGCAATTGAGGCCTTCATGATTGGAACAGGGTATTTGGGAATACTACGGGACACTAGTTCTAATTACTCCGACCCCAAAACCCCTGAAACCCAAGCTCCCGAAAACTCCAAGACCTGAAAGCCAAGCCTCAACCCTAAGCACACCTGAAACCTTAAGTGCCGTAAAACACTAGGGTTTAGCGTTGGGGCTTACTAGT